GAGAAAGAGTTCTGTTTGAAGCAAATTGATGTAAAAGTTTCTTAAAATAAAATCTTTTTGTTGCATATTATTTCGAGGATCGTTTCTTTTATCGTATTTGAAACAAAAAGGTAACGAAATATAATTCATGATTTGAAATTGCTATTATCTCAACTGGGTCCACATCATTTTCAAATAACAGCATTGAAAACAACTCTACGAAATGAATTATTTCTTATTTTCATTTGAAATAAAATTTGCCCAGATTTCTATACTAGACGAGACAATTTAATTCTGTTATAGACTGTACTATCCATTATTCATGAACTGAATATGCTATTTAGGAAACTAATTATGCAATCACCTTTAGAGTTTCTTACTTCCTCGACGAGTTATTACGATCTTCCATGTTACCTGCATTTACTCTACAAATTATTTTTCACAATAAAATTACAAAAGTGGATTCTAATTTACTGAATTCTAATGACATAAAATTAATTTTAGTTGAGAAAGGTATCTCACAAGAGGATGAATGCTCGATGAATTCAACTTTGGATATAAACAACCTCCCTAGGAAGAGAAAAGCTATTATTTCAACTATTGACTATGATGCTGAAATGGGAAGCATATATGGATTCGACGTACCTTACGCGCGACAATATTCGAACTCGATAAGTGGTAATAAGAACATATACATGTACACATGGTAGCAGATAAAATATAAATGATTTTCGAGAAATAATGCATAAAATATTATACGCATGGTATTTAAGTTTCCGATAATCCACACTAATGATATTAATGGATAAACATTTACAAAACGGTCCTCCTCTTCAATTTTGATAACATTTGTATGTACGTATTGTACAGCTTCACATTTTGAACAAAGTTTTACTTTGTAGAAAATTCAGCTTTGCATTACTTTCCGAGATATTTACGGAAAACTGTCCCAGATCTAACTTTATGTTGGTCAAGACATTTTAAAAATGTGTAGATTTGAGTTAGATCTGGGTTAGATCCACGATTTTTAGCGAATATTTCAAAAACTAATCCAAGGCGACATCTGGTGTGAAGGAAAAAATTGTTCGAGAAGCTAATTTGTGCAACATATTTTAATATCATCGAAATCGAAGTGAAGAACTCTTTTACGAATCATACGAGTCATATTAATTTTTCTGTTTACGTGTGCAATCGTAGTCGTTTTATTGACGTTTTCGAAAAGATATTCTTCGTCTTCTACTTTGACCACAAATTCGTTTGTAACATTTGTATTTAAAGAAAAAATTAGAACATGCAATTTATTTATAATAATAAATATTTAATCAGTTTCTTTAGGAGAGAAGACTAGAAGCCAGCTACGTCTTAATCGGAAATGTAAGCTTTGAAAATTGTTGAAAACTTCATATATCTGCATTGATCATGATGTATCATGTTGGAAGGAATGCTTTAATTTTTTCCAGTTGAAAGTGTGGACACAGTCAACCTTGGCAGCAGCGTTAAAATTTTTGACGAGAAACCATATGCTCCAATAAAATGTAGCAATTTGAATCTTTCAAATGGAAGTAATCGTAATTTGCCGGAGATGGTGGAAAACGAGACCTTAATAGACAATGAGAAAACTGCACTGAACATAGAGTCCANCAAGTATGTATATATATATATATATATATATATATATATATATATAAATAAATATCTTTCTTAAGTTTCGTAGCTCTTAAATACTACTAAGATCATATCAACAAATTATATAATTTCATTTATTTTTTAACTTAAATCATTTATATAATTTTATCATCGTATACAATTTATCATTAATAATAAATGATACATTTAGTAAATTTATATAATTAAATTCATATTATTTTTTTGTTTATATTATTAATATTAAATTATATAATTAAATTTATATAATTAAATTTGTATTATTAAATTGTGTTTATATAAATTTGGTCAATTTATCATTTTCTATTTCAAAATATAGACAATAATATAATATTATTAATATTTACAACTAGGCCTACAATTACAANAATACATACGGAAGTCAGTAACAGATTAGATTTATCAGCGGTTTATCTCCATCATTATAAAATATAACGATTGCTCGCCCCTCGATGGCAGTTTAAGATCGATCATCATCAGAACGTAAGATTGCAATTATTCTACCAGTATCAAGAATAAATCTTCGATCGCAGTTTGTGTTGATTTCTCGCAAAAGACTTACAAAACTGTCATGAACACTGCGCATAGTTCGAAATGTTCGACGAAGTGTAAACTGTACAGTGACTCCAAAGAAAAACTGTTTTTATGCAATGTCACAGCGTGACAGGAAAGTGTAATACATAAAGTTGTCGAAGAAACCGGTCTAATGATCTTGTTGTTCACGAAAGTTTACATTGTGGTGGAATAGACAGACCAAGAAAGGTGATTAGTTCATTAATCATGTGACTTGAAATTCAATGACGGGTGGATATTTCAAAATACATTATACTAGCCGGCGAGTGATGGTTCTGGAAAATTTCATTCATTTGTTTTGTCGAATTCAATATATTTATTAAATCACATTATATTATATTAGATTACGTTACGTTATCAATGTTTGCTCGTTTCAAAACTCTAACAAGAGAGTGATAAATCGTGAAAAGAATATTCGAGCAATATCTTACGTTTAAGTGTGGCAAATAATAATATAAAAATCGTTTTTAATAGTGTACCTATCAGTTGAATTAATAGTAAGTCAGCTATTGATTCAAAGAAGAAGGAATCTGTGGTATCAAAATGATTGCGGAAGAAACTAAGAAAGTTCCTCCAAATGGAAAATGGGGTTGGATGATTGTTTTAGCATATGCTTTAAACGGGGTATGTAAAAATTGCCATGTTCTATTATTATTGAAGTTAATTAACTCGAACGAGTTACGCTAGCATTGAAACATTGGAAATCACCAGAAATTATCATTGACGGAGGAAAATTACCTGCCTCCGTCAGACGGAAGAAATCCCACCATTAGACTGAAGATGACTTTAATGTAAATTTTCATTCTTATAAGTTACTTTATAAAAATTAGGATGAAAGAAAGACTTCTCTTTTATCGAATAGAGGCATTCGTAAGGAAAAAATTGAAAGAAAAATGTTACTATTCAATCTTTCCTACCAAAATAAACATATTAAAATGAACCTTCTGCCAATTCGTTGAAGAAAATGTTAACAGACAATCGAGGTTTCGCATTATCATGCAGTTATGCTTAGTTAACACGCTGATGCAGAGCATGATTCGAAGAAAATTTTCGGAGAATGTTGATGACCTTGCAGGAACGAAATTTAAAACGGTTGTAAAATGAAAAGAATTCAATCACATCGACCATTACGTTTTATTCAAAGGATTAAAGTTGCATCGACATCTAGATCCTTAGCAAGATGTTCCGTTGATAAATGTTAGTTAAACGGAACTATAGAGCTGTTTATTTTTTTTTTAACGGATGGGAGATTTTCGATATCCTTTGAATTACGAAGAGATCGCTTTAATGATTAGGCGAGTTTGTTCTGATTTCTGCATGTTGGATATCGTATCCTCAACTTGTTAACTCTAAATTATAACTTGTTAAACATTTTTATTTGCCCAAGTATCTGCGATCTAATTACTATCGTGCAATATACAACAATTATTTTCAGATCTCAACCGGATCCCTTCTGCACGGGTTCGGATTAGTATTCAAGGACACATTTCCCCTTTTCGGTTTCAATGCGACACAGGCGGCAATTATTATAAATACAAATTTAGCTTCTGGCATGATACTCGGCTTAATTAACGGGCCTCTATTACGCACCCTTGGATACAGAAAAGCGGCTTTGATCGCTAGTTTATTGTATACCACTGGTATAATTGTAACAGCGTTCAGCAGATCTTTCATTCTAATTCTAATATTCTACGGTTTATTTACCTGTGAGTATCAATCATTTGCGAATAAATACCATTTCCGAACAAAAGCTATTTCTAAAATGTCCATAATAATCTTTTCTCTGATTACTTTTCCGTATAAACTGCAATTAACAAGTTAATTCAATCGTTTTGGAAACGATTAAATTAATACGACACCATATTATTTAGGCTTGACAAACGTCTTAACAAATGTTTCTATTGTTATTGATTGCAAAATATTTGAACTGGCTAGACGTTTTTATTTACTTACTTAAAATATTCTATTTAAATGAAGAAGATCAAAGATGACACACGAAATACATAAATACAAATATCGATTCATCATTGTTCTCAATTATGCAAGCCAATCTTCGTTCGTATTTTCTTCTCCAAAAACATTAACTCATAGTTCATCGAATGAATCATTTCGTTCGTGTATATACAATCATGTCAAGTTAATTAGTGTGTTCTCTTATACAGCACTCGGCATGTGGCTGTCAATGTCCGCCTTTTCGTTCGCTCTAAATTCATATTTTACAACGAAGAGAGGGCGCGCCTTATCTTTAGCGTTAACAATTGTTGGACTTGGTCCTATAATATTACCACAACTAACAACGATTTCACTCTCTTACTACGGATTTCAGGTACGCTTACGATCAATTCAATTAATCTACTTTGGTCTGTGATGAAAGATGAAAAATGTCTTTAGATCTTGTGCTTCCTTTCTTAGTCTCGATCTATTAACATACAGTGGAACATATTTTTAAAATAGTTCAGTAGTTACAATAACAATTTGCCATAATTACATATTAAAGTTTTTCATAACAAACAAAAGTTCCCTGTTTCACGTTGTATAGATGCGCATAATGGCACTGATTTTATTGTTTCACATGTTGCGAACTTGCTTCATCATGTTCTCAATGTGAACGCTATTAAAATATTCCATTCACATTTCTTTTCTGAATAACCAAGATACTGATCGAACAATTGCAATATTTTTGATGTTTTTAAATATCGTGTTACTAGGAT